TTCGAATAGTGTCATTGTTTTGTAAACTTTGATTATTATATTCGGGACTATTAAGGTGTAATTAATTGTTTCCCTTATGCCTTAATAGTATTATTGAACCAGGCAAAGTGAATTCATTTCTATATGACAAAGTTTTTAATTAATACGTTTTATAATTATTATTAAAATTAATATACGTTTCATAAAGTTTTGTACATGGATTTATCCATGATATATAATTCATCATACATAATACGATAACTAGACAAAAAAGGCAATTACTAAATAATAACATTACAGTTTATAACAACTAATTATATGAGAATATCAAATAGAGATAAAAATTTAACTACACAAGTTGTTGTTTAGTGAACTGGCGATTACAACCTATTTTCGAACCTCTATTAAAATGGCCATAAATGATCGAACGTAAAATCTTTCTGTTTAATACTGACAGAAATGAATATTAAATTCAGCACCAATTTGCAATCTGTGAAGCAAACGAGCAGAGGTAGAATTTTCACGCCGAATACAATGGACGAACAGCGATGCAATTCTTATTGCTAAAGGCAGCATGAACCAATGATTTACTGCAGCCGAGCTGACTCAGCAGCTCAGTTAAGTCAACGCAAGTGCCAGGAATTTTAAATAGAATGATCAGACGAGTTTGGTTTATTCTCGTTTTAATAATATGGGAGTGAATTCTTCGTATGGCTAAGCTTAGATAGGTCTCCGAATTTTTGTATAAAAAGAACTATGTTTATTTATTGGTAGTTTAAATATTGTAGATTGAGTTGAATTTTTTTAACATTTGGAGACACATTTGGAAAATTTGTCAGAGGATGTTTTGATATATTTTGGAATTTTGAAAATATTTCCTAAACCAGCTACTCTCAACCAGTTTGCCTTTATTAAATTAATGGCGAGTGAAACAAAATGAACAAAAAAAAATATTGAAAATTAAAATTTCACTCGAAATTTGCACGATTTCTCCGTCCGCTCGTATTAAATTTCCTAATTAAAGTAATTGCTCAATAACCGGCTAAAAGTTTTTTCTCGAATTTATTCAAAATTCTGACGGGTAAATAAAATTATAAATTGGTTTTAACCATTTTCACTGTTTTTATCCGAATATCTAACTTGATGAAATTATGTTTTTCCTTTTATTTATGTCGTGTCTCACTAGAGCACATTTGCAAACTTGAAACTACGCCTTTTGAAAAATGAAAGTGTAATTATTAATTAAGTTCACGATTACTTCTCAGCTGCTTTTAATGAGGATAATCCTTCTAAGAAGATCATGCCAATAATAACTTGATTGCTGCTAATTGGGGTAACATGATTAGATTTCCTTTTCAAGTCATTTGAATATAAGTAAAATAACCTCCTAAATTTTAATGTGACATTTTGGAGACCTTTCAAAAAATCACATGTTGCGTGTTAAAGATTGCAATGCAAAGATTGCAAGATTGCAATTGCTGGTGTGAAGCAAATTTCGATAATTTTGCCCTATATTTAATATTATAATGATCTGTTATACAGTGAAAAGTTTCTCCAAGTTGGTTGACTTATTCGGCCCATCACGAATTATATTACCATTGTTCATCAATCCCAGAAAAGTTTATTATTCATAATAAATCCAGAATTTATTTCGCATGCGAAAGCGAATTAAAATTTTCACAGGCCTATGATTTTCACCCGTCATTTTTCTGCATTGTATCACTTAACTTCGAGCAACATCGCTTGCCCATTATCCGGCAGTCTGTTAATTGAATCAAAAGTTTACAGCGCTCTCGGCAACTCAAAACAGTTCTCGCTGTGCTCCAATCTTATGGTTAACCACACTCCCGGCTATGGCAGTGCACCAACACCTGATGCAATTTTCCGCGATAATGTAAAATGAGAAAAATATAGTTTAACAAATGTGTTTGAAGGTAAAAACAGTTTAAAATATTTAATTGATGATGAAAACGTTAAAGAACACGTTTTGGATTAGAAAACGATGTAAAATCACTAATTAATAGTAAAATAACGAAAAAAATCCAAATGAGACATATCTTTGCGCTACAAGTCGTTTTTAGGATGCATTTGATCACTTTAAGCTTCTCCTTTTCAGCTCGAAAAATTTAATAATCAAATAAAATCACTAATTAATTAAGAAACTGATACAAGAGCTTCAGTAAAACGAACTTATGGTAGCGTAGCAAATCCAAGGATTACAATCTACTATACATTCATTTTACGTACTAAATAACCTTTATTTTGAATATCTATATCATCACAACCTACTGCTAGCCTCCACCGACCGAACCCAATCAGGATATATGAATCTCATATTTATTAGCTTCTGTGCCTAATTCAATGGCTATTATTCTCGTCCGGGTATAATTACAGCCTAATTCCATTGGTCAATGGAATATAGTTTTTCCTGACCCTGCATTCATTGTGCTGTTCGTGACAGACATCATTCAGCAGCCTGAATGCCACTCACGCAGCCCAGCACGGTTCATCAATATTTTATATTGACTCATCGATTCCATCATCGTTCTAGCTTACTGTGTTTCCACGAGGTTTTGCACCTGCAAGGTTTTAATGGAAATCCTAATCCTAAGGTTTACCAAATATTTTATTAAAAGTGTTCTTAAATTAAAATGAAATATTGTACCACGTAACATGTATTAAAATATACAGGAAAAATCTATGCAAGTATTTTTGGGGTGCGCAATAAAAAAATGCAGATTTTCAATAAACTCACACTGTAAATATTAGCATAATACATACACTATACCTGATCAAAGCACTGGTCGCGTGACATGAGAAAGAACAGAAGCTTATTATATTTCGCTACCGTTTATAAATACTTCAAGGCTGAAATATAAAGCAACCTTTTACGTGGAACGAGCAAAGCTCTTTACCTACCATAAAGCGGTTCTAATCAACCTGAAAGCTGCGATAGAAGCCAGACCAGGGCTTTGCTGTCTTTGCGCCAAAGACTTCTCTTAGTGTCCCGCATTCCTTCAGTTAATCAAGCTCACTTGTCGGTTTATGTGAGTGAAAGGTAACTGATGCATGCGGCCACCTCAAGTTAATCATTGATCGGTAACTTCTGGAAATATTTTTTTGTGGGCGAAGCTGGATTAATGGGGCAAAATATTTTCCGAGCTGATAAAAAATCTAAAATACAGAAAGGAATACAATAACAAGATATGCATATGATTTTCAGGTGTTAGTTATTTTTTCATTTGAACGCACAAGACTTTTCTAGTAACTGATTTCCTCATCTATTACTTCGCCAGCTTAAGGAGATATAATAAAAAGTTTATCAATTTTTTAACATATGTGAAGATATTTTTACTGATTCTCATACCTGTGCTCGATGCATTCTTATGCATCGACCACAAGCTAATCATTATGTAAAAAATTAATTAATTTATTTAACTATAGATATCAGCTTCTAATTCAAAATCAAACTTGATACCTGGAAGAAATTTCCATGTTTTCTTCAAAAATATCCCCACAAACAAGGCAAACACATTGATTTCTAAGTCACGGTCTACCTAAATGTCAATATCACTTCACTATAGCTTTGAGATCTTGTTAGAACTGTGGAAAATAATGTCTTTCCTATTGAAATAGTTTGGATAAGGCGAGTAATTATTTCTCGTAGCTTTCTCTTGGCTCACGTCAACCACTGTTTTTCTTCCTGTAGATAGCCTAACCGCCGAGAAAAAATATAAGTTCGATTGAAGACCATAAATTAGTTTTAATATTCATTGATCGCTTCGAACTTCGAATTTAACACTCATTGCGTGCATGGAGGTCATATTTGTATGAAAGTTGTTTGCGTCCTTATATGAAATATTTAAAGCTATTAAACGAGCACCTTTCCATCAATACCATTAGAGTTAATGAAGAACTGCAAGTCTTCGTCATTATTGGATAGGACTACTAAGTTTTTGTAACAAATAATTAGAGCGAGTTTCAGTATTCAAGCGTTTTGATTCGATGACCTCAATTCTTGAAGAGGGGCAGCTGAATCAAAGTTTGCATTTTACATGGCCCTCGTTTTCTTCGTGTGCAAGAAATAAAAAAAAACAGTTGCTGTAATAACAACGATCAGAATTCAACTGACGCTCCCAACTACCAAGAAAAAATTTACTCAATAATCAAAACTTGAGCCATAGTTATTTATTCAGGCACGATGTTAGAAATTAAAAGAAAAAAATCTGATATGTTCTCTCATAACTTCGCATCAGCAATGGAACTTCTGAGAAATAATTCTTCTGTAAAAATTAAGTCATTTTTAGATGAGAACTTTTTTATGATTCGTCATCAAAGCTTCAATGGTATCAATAACAATGAAATTTTTACTGCGATTTCCGATCCAGCTTGCATTTTTCATCGTTTCATCTCTGGTCTGCGTGAGAAGTTTCCAAGATAGCGAAAAGGGCTTGGCAGCATTTTTTAGGAAAGTTTAGCAAAGCACGTACACTGCTAATGTTAACTGCAGGCTGTTGCTCAAGATGAAAGCACGAAGAACCGGGAAATTGCGTAAATTTAATTATAGTGCATTGGTGTTTTTCTGGTTAACTTAGCTACTTTTGTAACTTTCGAGCAGAGGAAGCGAAAAATTTTTAAAAACTACTTAAATAAAGATATTTTTTGAAGTATACTGAATAAGTTTACGTATTTGGGCTATTGTTTAATGAGGTAATTAATTCATGAATGTCCATGAAAAAATACTCAATAAAATTGAAGCAACATCGATTTGATTTTATGTATTGCATGAATAATATGATTATGTATGCAATAGCATTTATCGATAAAAGTTTAATTTTCGTATATAGCCTATGCAAATAATTATCAATTTATTTATAGGGAAGTCATATCAAAGTCTTACCTATACAATTTTTTTAATTAAAAGCATATCCTCGAAATAGAGTGTGCTTGTGAAATTTATTAAAGTATTAATGAAATATTAAGTTAAATAATTTTATACTCAATTTCAGCCCAAACTTTGTCCCGTGCATTCAACCAATAACTAAAAAAAATATTACCAGACTTGCTGTCATTAAACTCACATTTAACTCTGATTACTCTTGAAAATTTAATTTTAACAATTTTGAAATCTGTGACACGATGATCCAAAAGTGGATTTCGTGCCCAGCGCTGCTGCTGTGGTGGTGCACATTGATGATGACAACACATCACAGCATCAGTGCCGTGCCTGCGTATCAACTCAGTAAGTATTAATTAAAATTTCAACCCAGAAGGGATATCTTGGAATAAAAGTAGGAATTTCACTCAGTAAGTATTAATAACTCAACACTTTTATTATATTTTTCAGTCCAACAGGAATATCTTGGAATAAAAGTAGGAATTTTACTCAGTAAGTATTAATAACTGAACACTGTTATTATATTTTTCAATCCAGCAGGGATATCTTGGAAGAAAGTAGGAATTTCTTCAGCGTATGTAACGTTGTTCACATTACAATAATAATTTTTGAACCCCAGCATAATTAAATCTCTATATAAATGTCAAGCTTGACTTACGTTAACGCTTTTTTTATGGCCATAATACTGACTTTAAAAAAAATGTCTCAGAAATACCTGTTGATATTTTTGGAAAAAAATCATTGTCTTCACGAACCATAACTCAATTTAAAATAAAATAAACCCGCAAAAAATTATTACTTTGCAAACTATAGAACATTCGGGTGGGCTAAGAAATTTAGCGACGGGTAAAACATGTTACTAAATTATATACTATTTTTTCCATTAAAATATCATGTATCGGTAACTCATTTCGACCAATGTTATGTAATCACAGCATCAGTGCCGTGCCTGCGTATCAACTCAGTAAGTATTAATTAAAATTTCAACCCAGAAGGGATATCTTGGAATAAAAGTAGGAATTTTACTCAGTGAGTATTAATAACTCAACACTGTTATTATATTTTTCAGTCCAACTGGGATATCTTGGAATGAAAGTAGGAATTTTACTCAGTGAGTATTAATAAATCAACACGGTTATTATATTTTTCAATCCAGCAAATCTTGGAATAAAGGCAGGAATTTCTTCAGCGTATGTAACCTTGTTCACATTGCAATAATAATTTTTAAAGCCCTGCAGAATTAAATCTCTATATAAATATCAAGCTTGCCTTACGTTAACGCTTTTTTATGGCCATAATATTGACTTTAAAAATGTCTATGCAATAAATAATTGATGCTATTTTTAGAGAAAAAATCATTATCTTCACGAACCATAACTCAATTTGGAATAAAATTAATCCGCAAAAAATTATTACTGTGCAAACTATAGAACATTCTTGTGGGCTAAAAAATTTAGCGACGGGTGGAACTTGTCACTAAAATTGTATAATATTTTTTTCGATTAAATTATTATGTATCGGTAGCTCATTTCGATCAATATATGTCTGACCAATTATTCAAAAAAATTCACAAAAAGAAACTCGGAAAACATTGACGTCGATTTCGTAACTTTCTGTAAAGAAATATCCTAAAATCAACTCACAAAATTCACAACACATCTACCAGCGACTCTTCGTGCGTGGAATTCCCGCATATAATATTTTTTGTGTATTTGAGTAATTTTTTTGAAATTTAAAATTTGTGTCTTGGCATTTAACACTTACTTAAATAAATCGAATAAAAAAATAAAAACTAATATTAAGCTAAACAAAGAAACGTTTATTAATAAAAAATATAAATATTGACACATCTATCCACTATTCCAATTCACATCAAATCCTAACTTCGCACATATAGTGTTCCTCCGCTCTGGCTTTCCACGCAACATTAATCACCGAACCATCGCGTTCCGCACATTTCCACCGGTAAACTCTAAAACTGCAATGAAAACACACTTTTCGATTAATAAACAATTTCATAAAAATATTACAGCCTCAAGTTGAATTAAAAATTATATACAATTTCTATTCGTGACAAAGCTCCATATTGATTAAAAAATGTAACTCAGTACTCACTGCAGTGAGTGACAGAGAGTGCATTTTCTCGTCGACGAAAATTTGAGGTCGCGGACAGACGGACGGACAGACAGACAGACGGACGGACGGACATGGCGAGCACAATATTGCATTTTTTCCATAAATGAGAAAATGCGCTAAAAATGTGTGCTTACGGGTCATTCTTTATTAGCATGCTAGTTTGAGTAACATTAACTAGATCAAAAAATTGCAGAGCAGCATAGAGATTAACAGCTGGTATTCAATATATGTTAAACTGCGAAACTTAATAATTGTAAACGATGCGTGAAGTTTAGTTGCATTTAATCACCAACTTTACTGATAATTATAATTTTTCAGACGATTGATGTTAATATCATCCCATTCACATTTTATTTAATCCGATAGAAGTCATTTTACCATAACAATGTAAATTTGGAGTAATTAATCTCACCTCTACACAAACGCTGCAAGTTTTAACAAGAATATTTAATCCCACGCAAGTCTCGCGATTCATAAACATCAATCAGCGAGTGAAAAAAATCTTCCGCGGCATGATTAAAGTCTTGTCTTAAAATATTGAAAGTTTTGAGTGCGCTTTAGATGAAGCTATTTACGCCGTTCCGCCACATCCTAAAATGAAAGAGAAGGATTTCGTGTTTCCTGCATAGGCTTTTATATGCTTATTTGGTGGCTTAAAAAACAGATACTTCGTATCTTTTAAATCGGGTATACAAATCGGGTCTGGTTATTTCCCCAAAAAAATTATTGGTGGAGACGACTACGATATTTAGTGGATTATTAGTGTTATATAGTGGGTTATTGGTTATTTACATTATAGTCTTTATCATTTTTGCACTAAATAGTCAAATGCACTAAAAATACTCCAATACTGGCATAATATGCATTAGCCTACAATGCAGTGACCCAAAGATTAAATCCAGAATACAAAGACGTAGCTTTGTTACGGTCGATCTGAGCCCCGGACAAAGGCAATATCCCGTGAACTCCCCTGGGTGGACCGCTCTCTTGTGAGGCTCGCCTGGCGCGCTTACTTCGATTGCTGCGCGAGTTGCGTGAGCATTTCGATTGCGTGGGAAAGATGCAAACCAAATTCTGTGGTATCTTAGCTTTTAAATTGATTTTTTCATAAAATTCAATATCGTTATAAAGTTTTATTATAAAGTTATAAAGTTTTATTTATCGTGTCAGGTCCGGGTGTTTGATGAGAAAATTCCTAATGGAATGGAAGCAGTTTTTTTTACGAAAAACTGTTCTTAAATCCAGTAGTTGAATTTCTCCACAATGAAAAGTTCTTTCATAAATTAAGGACGAAGTATCGAATGATTTTTCGAAAGTAAATCTAACCGTTATGATAAGTTTGTGTTACAAAATTTAACAAAAACAACAGAACTTCATGCATGGTTCAGAGCCGAACGTGATCATATTTGAAGATTCGTTGGCAGTTCCAAATAATAATTGATGATTATATAGTATCGTATCGCATCGTTGTATATCGATTGTATTGTATCGTAGTCAGTCATTACATTAGTCTCTAAAAGGGCTCAATTTCATAACATAGGCAATGTTAGTGAATTATTTCGTCGTGAATAATACATAACTTCAGCTTCTTTTTATTTATACTCGTTATTCGGCTCGTTTTATTTATGTTTATATCTTCGTCATTCCCAGGGATTCGTTTTAACTAATCTGTTTCATTGCATGTAAAAAATTTATTTAACCGGTTATATTTCATTATTAGAAATCTTGCCAGTTTTATTCATTATTTTGGTTAAACTTTCGATTTGCACTACTATTACGAGGAACATGCCTCAGCCAAACTTTATTGGGCAGTTTCAGTGTTTCGGAAGAAAATTTGGGGCAACATGTCGTTTGAATCTAACCCTGAATCAGTTGTTTTTACTATGAATTTATAATCTTTTGATCGTAAACTATGGTATTTTTAAACTAGTTAATCTCACATCTATCTTTAAAATGAGTTTCCAGTTTAAGTCTAGGCATATTTAGATTTATGGAAGTAATAAGATTTTCCTATCGACTTTCCTTATAATTAAGCCTACATGGTTTTTTCCACATTTTAATGTTCTCTCATATCAATTTCGCAACCAGTTATCACCCTTCTTGCATCATCAACATCGCGACATTGATAACTAGCAATATTCAGAATACACTTTTTGGATTAAGCCGTCCAAAAACCATATCAAACGCATTGATAAATTAGAAAAAATATAACTCCATACTCACTGCAGTGAGTGACAGAGAGCGTATTTTGTCGTCGACGAAAACGTGAAGTCACGGACGGACAGACAGACGGACAGACGGACAGACGGACATGGCGAGCACAATAGTGCATTTTTTCATGAATGAGAAAATGCGCTAAAAAGCAATCCAATAATCAAATGAAACACATATACACGCAACTCCTGTTCCTCGCATGTTCCACGCGTCGTCAATGCTATTCCTGTAAAAATACTTGGCGTCTAAAATGACAGTCATTAAACAGTCATTTTGGATTCTGGTTCTGGCTTTTAGGAATATAAATGTACCAATTTTCTAAATTGAACAAAAATTTGTAGCATTTGCTTGCCAAAATTGCAAAATAATAAAGAATTAAATTAAAAAAAAACTGCCATGAAAATTCACAGAAATTTTCAGCAAAAACTGTTTCTCGAGCGTTTTCGATTGAATTGTGGAGAATTTTCGTAGCATTTTTTTAAAGGATAAATTTAATTGCAATTAAATTTCTGGCAGAAATGATAATGAATAATTACAAATATTCATGAAACAAACAACGTTTGATGAATATTTTCGTTGTTTGTTTCGAACATTTATTCGTTAGTTTACTCGCATATAATTAACACAATATACTGACACTCATCGTTTATATTGGCCCTAGCTCTGTCCCGCACAAATACTGCTCTTGCTACAAAATTTTTTCTAACCTACAAATAAAAGTAGCCAGAAAACGCAAAAAATAAAATCTTCTGGTCCTGACACAGCGACTAAATCGAGCAATTATTTCATTTCAAAATCAGACGACATAATGAAAAATGCAGAGGTTGTTAACAGTGTTTTGACTGCAAAAATGCGTTTCTCAGAGGCTTCCTGATATTTTTTTATTATTAATAATAAAAATATTAAATGCTACGAATAATATTTGATAGTGATTGATAAAAATTTCTCAGATTCGTGCTTGCTTTTGCTAAATAACCCTGTTTCCTTATAAAAATTCGGGGACCGCATAGGCTTCGGCCAAATAGTCACTGCACTCTGCGAACTATTCTGTGTTTGCTCGGCTACCCGATCGAAATCAGTGTCTGGTCAGAATCTCATTTCAGACTTTACAGTCGCCTGAGATTCTATATGAACTCGCACGATTTGTTGTAAGTTGAAGTGAAAAAATTATAAATACAATAAAAGAATATGTTTAAAAACTGATCCGAAAGCAATCCGAAAGTATTTATGTACTGAAGGATATCATTTTGTTTTGAATAAAAAAATACTCCATAAAATTGAAGCAATATCGGTTTGATTTTATGTATTGCATGCATAATTTGATTATGTGTGGGAGAGTATGGGAAGAGAGTATGAGAGTATGGGAAGAATTGACCGAGTGGAGTCATACTGAGCTAGCAAGCTGCCCATCGGCTGCCATTTAATTACCTTGAGCTGAAGCGGACATAGAGCGGCTGATCTACGCGCTCCCCGAGTCCTAGGCGGCAACTAAAGCAGAGTCGCGTCAGCCTCTAAATTTTGTTAGGGTTAGTAACGATCGGTACAAACGCGTTTAATTGTTTTTCTCGTTTGGAAACTAATATGCTTTAGTCTCTATAACGTCCAAATTATTAGATACTTCTCGAGTCGAAAAATCGTGTCCCGAAAATATTTATCATCTTTTATTAGGTTTTCTTTTAAATTTAGTAATTCCTCCGAGGGTTCTGTAAATTTTGGCATTTTTCTGTTTATCCATAATCCTATATTGTATACGTCAGGCCACCACCACTATGATGGATATTCCTTATTTAATCCAAGACTACAATAGAACGTACTGTTTAATTAGTTGCAATATTGGGTGGACTCGCACAAAGCCTTTAATTTAATAAACCGATCAATGGTCTCAAGTTATTAATAATAACTCCACAGTTATCATAACAGTTATCAGTTCCTCGCTAAAAAGTAAATAATTGGTACACTGAATTAATTCAAATCTCATATCATAACCATGCATCAAGATTACTATACTTTAGTGCTCGTTTATTAAATATATTTTTTGTGTGAAAATTAAAGCCGTCAACACTAAATGTTTTTCTCCCTATTAGAATCACATTATTTGCCTTCGTTAGATGTTATCGGTTGATTACTCATGTTTTATATGTTACTGCGGTATCAACACCACAAAATATGAGGGGTAGACGCGCAATAACAATACAAAAATCTCCCAATCGTTTATTTGAATTTGATCAACCTCTTATCCTAATAATGCTGTATTTCGTTATATGTCTGGCTCGGAAAAGAGTTGTGGGGAATTTTGTGATGGTATATACAATACGTCTGATGAAGCTTGTGAAGAAATACGTAATCTCAGCTTCGCCAGTCAGCAGATGAGTTCTGTATTAACTATTTCACTTTTATCTTCACTATATAGTAAGTTAGACCAAATTGCCTCGTGCTCTTTTCAATTTCGCTGGTATTCCTTTTACCTGAAATAAAAATATGATCCCTTTAATAATTAGAATTTGCATGCTACGCTCAAGTTACAAGAGTTGCGCCAAAACTTTCACCTCGACACCCTCGTACGAACTGAATGAATCGTCGTAAGTTCGAAGTTAACGACGTCTACAAATTGCACCTAAAATTTATGGGAATATTTTCTCGCTGACAAACGCTAGTGCAGCAGCGTTCGTACCGCTCCTGCCTGAGCGTTCCGTGGATACCGGACGCGTGAACTTCAATTTTCGGTCAGAGATTTGAAAAGCAGGTGTAAAATTCTAATGCACATTCAATGAATTACTAGTTTTCTTTTTAAATCAATTTTAATCAGTTTATTTTTCGCTCTGCTTATTTTCCTTATTTTTAACAATTCTTTTATTTTCTATAACTTCTATTTTCACAGGAATTCGTTTAGGGGTGATGTAATTTTGTTTTAATTTTTTGGTCATGCGTGTTCATTTTCAATTAGGAATAATTTAAAAATGCCCTTCTATGGTAAATTTCATTCATTTATGTGAACCTTATTTAAAATGAAGTTCATGATTTTGGTTAATGCTGCATCATATTGTAGATGTATTCATGATACTATGATGATGTTTTTATACAGGGAATATATTGTTTTTGTTCCATTTGACGCACATCAATTATTGTTGACACTCATTAGCAACGATTTGCTAAAACTCATTCAACTTAAAATCCACTTTTTCTAATCTAAATAAAGAAAAATTCGCTCAAGTGTTATTTCTTACGTTGAATTAAATTTATATATTCGTGAAAGTATATCAAAATGAAGCATGATATTCCTCACATACCATGCGGTCATTCGTTATTATACTTTATAGGAGCTTTAAGAAACTTTCCAACTTGCTTACATTATCGCATAGATTTAAGTGTAACTGATGAATAATAATTTAAACACTTTATTGTACAATTTTTCGAATAAAAAAATTAAATTATCAACGTGCAGTAAACTATTATGACGAATACACACTTCTAATTGTGAGCCATTTTAATGGGTGTTTTTCATCTCATTGTGCTTGTGCGGATTCATGACTTTAGGTTTTGGGTTGAGGCTTGACAAATGAGGCTTTCCCAATAAATCCGAATAAAAGGTTTCCTTTTCAATCAGTAATAATTTAAAAATACTCTTCTAAGGTAAATTCATCCATTTTTGTAAACTTTATTTAATATGAAGTTCATCTTTTTGGTTAATGCTGCATCATATTGTATATATTTTTATGATAGTATGAATATGTTTTTATCCAAGCAATATATTGCTTAATCCCATTTAACGCACATTAATTATTGTTGACACTCATTAGTATTTCTTTGCCATAACTCATTTAACTTAAAATCCAATTTGTCCAATCTTAATAAAGAAATGCGTTGCGAATTTCTTAATTGAAGTGTTATTTCTTAAGTTGCATTAAATTTCAATATTCGTGAATGTATATCAAAATAAAGCATGATATTCTTCACATACCATGCGGTCATTAGTTATTATACTTGTAGGGGCTTTAAGGAACTTGCCTACTTGTTTATATTATCGCATAGGTTTAAGTGTAACTGAGGAATAATAATTTAAATACTTTGTTACACAATTTTTCGAATAAACAAATTAAATTATAAACGTTCGGTAAACTATTGCGACGAATGCACACTTCTAAACGTGAGCCATTTAAATGGGTGTCTTTCATCTTGCTTGCGCGGATGCATGAATTCAGGTTTTCGGTTGAGGCTTGACAAATGAGGCTTTCCCAATAAATCCGAATAAACACAAATAAACAAATAAAATAAACTATGCAAATAAATATTTTGAGGAAGATAAAATTTAAATATTCACACATCTATTCAGAATCCCTATTCTAATATTCACATTACAGCCTAGCATAGCACATACCTCCGCTCCGGCTATCCACTACACAATAAACGTCTAATTGTAGGATATATGGCAGCAGGATATATGGCTGCAGGATATATGGCTGGAGGATATATGGCTGCAGGATTTATGGCTGCTGGATATATGACTGCAGAATATATGGCTGCTGGACATATGGCTGCAGGATATATGGCTATAACCTTAACCTTCAGCACTGTGTCTCTGGTAGACTCTAAAATAATTAGACAATATCAAATAATAAACATATATAAAAATATTACTACCTAAAGTTACATACATTAGAAACGATAAATGATTTGTCTCCCTTATAACTTCAACATTATCAAAATCTTAATTATGTACTGTATTTCTCTTCGTCTGAACTCATTTCTCAATTTAAATAACACTATAAAACTTAGATATTTCCCATCGCATAAATTTCTTCACAATTCTTTCATGACAATCGTTCTCTCGTAAAATAAAAGAATAAGTTTTCAAGCTGGTATATGTTCCTCGTTTCAACAGCGGTGCCGCAGCCGGAGTTTGCTGAGAGGCCAGCAGATCGAAACGTGACCGCCTTCCGGGGCCAGACGAGCAGACTGCCCTGCACTGTTCGCCATCTCTCCGGCAAACAGGTAAACCTTGGCTTTCTATCTAAAGAGTAAATTGTGCAAGCGACGTTAACTTCCTAAACGGTGTTGCCAAGGTAGAGTAAAAGTTACAATTTATTACAAAATAAGACTAGCAAAATGTGTAACACTACAGTTTCTTTTAATGCATTTCGATTCCACTAATAACTTTGACTTTTACCCGGTTTCTTTTAATGCCATTCCATTCAGTAATAGCTTTCACTTGTTGCAATTATTTCTTTTAATGCATTTCGAATCAATTAATAGCTTTGACATGTTACTTGGTTTCTTTTAATGCCAATCGATTCAGTAATAGCTTTGACTTGCTGTTTGGTTTCTATTAATGCAATTCCATTCCACTAATAGCTTTGGATAGTTGTCTGGTTACTTTTAATGCATTTCGGATCCACCATAGCTTTAACTTGTTGCCTTGTTTATTTTAATGCAATTCGATTGCGCTATAATAGCTTTATCATGTTGTCTGATTTCTTTTAATGCAATTAAATTCTACTAATAGCTTTGGACTGTTGTCTGGATTCTTTTTGTGCAATTTGATTCCACTATAATAGCTTTGAATTGTCTTGTTTCTTTTAATGCAATTCGATTGCACTAGAGCTGTAACTTGTTGTCTGGATTCTTTTACTGCAATTAGAATCTACTAATAGCTTTGGCTTGTTGTCTTGTTTATTTTAATGCAATTCGAATTCGATAAAAATTAGATTGAACTTCTCTAAAAATAATACGTTGGTTGGGTTTACGCTAGTCATAATAATTACTGGCTTGCAGAATGCAGAAATTTTTAAACATTTGTAATTGGTTGTGATAATAACAATAGATCTATTGCAAAGCCCCATTAGCAAATATTGGCTTAGATCAATGTAAAAATTATTTCAACGCCAGTATTTTCGGTAACCGTTTTACAATCAGTGGTCAAATCAATACCCAATTAGTGAAGCTACATAAGGCCAACAGCATACGAGACGAAACTACTCAGATACCATTAAAGACAAAATTAATGCATATGTTGTAATAATTCCATTGTTAGCCCTGCAGTTTGGAATTCTAGAAATATTTTAATTCTTTAATTCATTGTATACCTCATAACCTCATTATATGAACAATTTATAATCGAATATATTTTAGGGAGTGATTCTTAGATATTCATTCAACATTCAATAACTAAACATTCAGCGACATCATCAAATCGGTAAACATTTTGGTCCCAAAAATTGTCTTCCATTGAGGCACCAGTCAAAAGCATGTCAGTTCTCAGAATCGCATTACCCAGTAACTGAATTCCCTACATGAGACCAGCAAGAGAGTAAAGTGTCCTCGACAGAGACCAATGAGGCACTTATCCTAGAGTAAACTCCTTTTAAAATTGTCCTTCGGCGCAAAGAGAAGTCCTTTTTTCCCGCGCTATTATCATTCTTTGCCGAGGTTGCCCTGAAGAAGCCTCCTCATCACTGGGAGGCTCAAAGTTTTGCCAGGATATCAGCCTTGCCGTTTGTTTCATTTATTTCGAACCATAGTTCATTTGGAGTCACCAGCACAAAGCTGTTCGGAGTAGAGAATGAAAGTGTCATTTTCGATTATGTTCTTTATAATAACTTCGATAGTTTTAATTGTTGAAGATATTTTGGCATTTATTAGTTGTATTGAGATGGAAGAAGGTGCATTGGCACTTATATAGATTGTTTGTCTACAGATTTAAAAATTGTTTGTGACGAGCGAGTCTTCGTAAATATGTGCATAAATTTATGTTGATATCCATTCATTGTAAAATATAACAGCCTGCTGGTGTTCCTGTTAAACTATCTGCCCCCAACAGTTCAAAAATATCTTGATCGCTTTTTAGATTTTATCATTTCTTAATTGAATTTTCAGTGCTAAAAATATTCTCGTCAATTCACTTTTATCTTATTGTGTGTTTTTTAAATAAGCATTACCAATAAGCTTTTACAAAATAAAGCAAACCCTACTCTATTTTTGTTAACATTTGAGTGCAGGAGCTGGATAATCTTCAGCACAATAAAGAATTTTATTTGCTTAGAAAAAAACACAACTGAAATGAAACTTTTTGCGTTATTATTGTAACTTAATTTTCATATAAATTTAAATCCTTGTCCTTCATTCAATCATTTTTAATTGCGATAAAAAATTATTAATCTTTTTCGAATTGTCGTGTCTTCATTTTGCTGCTATGATATTCATTATTTTACTCTAAATAATTTGCTAACAAAATTTTTTATATAAAACTTATTCAAATTTTTTATTTTATAAATTAAAAATATTAAAATATAAAAAAAATTTTTTTTATATAAAACTTATCCGATGCTTCCCCTAAGAAATGCTTTCATCAAAGTGTACAAAAATTGTGCTCACTCACGAAGAACCATAACTTTTGTGCAGGTTTCATGGATAAGACTTCGCGATTTAACCGTTCTATCTTCTGGTCGAATTACGTTTGCAACGGACGCTCGCATTTCCGTTCTACCAGGCAAGAAAAGAAGAACGAGGCGTTCCCTCGAGTCCGATAACGCAAAAACCTTGCATCCAGTCTTCGATAATTCTAAGAAAACAAACCCAAAGAAACTGTGTCGAGCGCGAAATTCTGAAGCCGACAAACTCCTCAATGTCGGACGAAAACTTCGAGCGGCCGTCGGAGATTACTTCCTAACGGATGGTCGAGATGGGAAATTTGAATTCAAACGTGATTGTCGGTCGAGTATGAAAAGATCAAAAAGAAACCATAACAGAGCCAGTGGTCACACACGACGCCGGAAACCACAGCCAAAATATAAGGAATCTCAAAACGGCTCTAAACCAAATACTGATAAAATCTTTCATCAGTGGGGCGGCCATAGAAAACATTATCATGATGCTGAATTTCTTGATACAAGAGAAAAGGATTTGTACCGATACCATGATATCCGTTATCCAGTTAATTCTGTTCCCAAATCCATTAATAACTACGACTACAACTATCAAGAAGACGACCCAAATGTGAACGCAGATTCAGTCTCCGTTGCTCTGAATCCATCTCAAAAATCGAATAATTCTCCGAACGTGTCCATCTTGAGATGGAACTCGAAGCCATTAAACGCACCTCAGCGGAATTTGACTCTGGCGCGGCTCTCCAAGGTGGTTCTGCGACCCATTGAGCCAGTCCCAAGCGATGCCTCTACGCCCCACAACTCTGACAGGGACAGGGCACGAAAGCCATGGCTGTCAGCCGTTTCATCGTCTTCATTGTTGCCGCCGAATTACTTGGAAGGCGTTTGGGAACCTGAGGACTACACTCTACAAATAAAGTTTGCAGAGCCTGGAGACGCTGGCACTTACGTGTGTCAAATTAACACCGAACCTAAGACGGCACAGACCATCACGCTCACCGTTGTAGGTGAGTCTTAAGTTAATATTCCTTCGTATTTTTGTCAGAAATAATCGACTGGCTTGTATTTAAAAAAATTACTGGTTACTATATTGGGAAAAAATATGATCACACATTGTGGTGCTCAGTTTTTATGTGTCAAGTTGATGATTTTTATGGAGAAAACTTTCATAACATGGTCCTTGCCTACATTTACTTGGACGAAATAAAATTTACTGTGTGTATTTTTTCGTCCACAATGCCTGATTATCTAAAAGCTTTTCGCGGGAACAACTTGACTTCATTTCCAAAGCCCTGACATTTAAATATTACCCTCAAAGGCACCTCTTAGGAAAATTAGATCTTTATGGGGGACCATCTTTATACTACTAAAGTCTCGACGCAAGCGACCGCTACTTCAAAAGTGTGCTCTTGGGAGTACATTCCATCTTGCTCTTAACTCGTCCTTAACTCTCATAAGTTGTACGACTAACTTCGACTGTAACCTTTAGAGTCGCCCTGCTTACTTTTACGCTCAAATTCAGTCCTAAATAGCCGAAAATATGTTATTTTTCTGCCGAAATCATCAATGGCAGCCATTTTGCTGCGATCGAATTATTTCTGAAACAAATCTCACTTATCGAAATTTTGGCACTTTTAGCTTCATGATTGGAGCTCAAACAGAAAAAAATTTGGACGAAGTGAAGTTTTTAAAACATTTACTGACGCTGAGTTCAAACTACGTTGACATTGGGAATAAAAAACATTTTAGCAATTGACAAATTTATTTCATTGTAGATATATAAATAGTATTAGCACCTCCATGTGAATACTACATCAGCCTGTATGTTTGTTATTATGTTTTTGTGAAAATTTGTGTGCTTGCTTGAATATTACCTAGACCTGAAATTTCGTTTGCAAAGGTTGTATCATGAGGCATTACTTGACCGGGATATTAGTGTTAAGTAAATCAAAATGTCTACGAGGAATAAGAATGAGAAATTAAAATACTAAATTTGATTCAATTTACTGTACTGCAATTTTCCATATAAAATGCATTAGAACAATGGAAAGCTTAGAAACGGCGGTTTAAACAGAAATCTGTTTTAATCGTGATTTTAACTGCTTTTACCGTATCAACATTGCCTAATTTTAAAATTAGGAGCATTATAAACGGTAATGGGTTTCGGGAAAAAGAGATCTTATATTACGAAATTCGAGATAACGGGATTCTCCAATCACTGGTATTTTTTATATCCCGAGCGACTCTGGGTTCATCCAGTTGAGACGCCTCAAATTATATCCAAATTTGCACATCACAGTTGTCTTATCCACTCAGCCAATTTTTCTCTTCACTTTAATTTCATATTTTTTTAACCCTAATTTTATCCACTTTATAATTGAAAACTTTTATAATTATTTTAATTTTAAACCTAATTTTATCCAATTCATATATATAAATAAGTCTAAGATCTATATTTTTTCAAGCAATGAAGCTATTTCATATCAAAGTGTTTATATTGTTAGAACTTCTATACTTTTTGAGCATAAATGTGATCTCATATTGCAATATTGCTGTCGTGAGCAGCCACTCGAGTAGGCGTGCGAAATTAGACGCCGAAAAACCCCAGTAACTTTGATCTGTGCGTGACAGAATCGATCTAGGATTGAGTTTGCAGTTAATGCAAAATGTAGAGCTGCCTCGGCTTTGGAATTGGACTGCCTGTTTAAATCTGTACCCAACCCAGCCATCTGGATTTTTTTCACAGCTATAAAAGCTACAGCGATCGCCATTCCCCAACAAATATTTTCAGATCAACTCAGCTGCGATTGCTTGATCATCAAGAAATGCAATCGGATCAGATGCAAGATTGATCATTTGATGCATTCCTGACGAACGCAATCTGAACTATCACCTGGTCATCCTTGTGGAGTTCGTGAATTCAATGCTACTGAGGTCATTTAATTGTTTCATATCGCTAACATGCACGGTGCCTCTTTCAATATTGAGGTAAGTATTTTGTCATTCCGGTGCAATGTAACAAAGATTGGAAATGAGCTTCTTCGGTGAGCATTAAATCATTAATATAAATCATTCATGCTCTAAATTCACAATCATTGAAGAATCTGCCTCATTTACACTACTTTTAGAATTAACCATTTACGCTATTCTCATAAGCTCTTTAATTACTAAACCAACAACCTGACACCAGACCAGTAAATTCTATGTTCAAGATTCGGCGACAGGCCACATCAGGCCTTCTCTTTAGCGCCGACATCACTATGTTATGTTATGTTCTGAGAATTTGGTCGCAACCCCCGGGACATTATCATTCCAAGTTATCATTCCAACTCCGTACACCTAATTATAGCGTGGTCCTTCCATTAATGTAGGTATTCACATATGTTGGCATACATTTACTTAGCAAGCTTGATTAAAGACTAGATAATTCTTATTAATAATAATATTTTTCTTCTTTTTTGCCATATGTCGAACGCTGTTTCTTGCCATCGTGGCAGATCAAAAATCAGGCTACCAAAAGCATTTTAATTCGCGACGCTTCGAACATACAAGATTCATCACCAATTAAGGAATTGGAGGTTTTGCAACACTTAATTTTGAAATGACATAATGGACCTATTTATGAACCAGTATATGACTTGATATTCGCAATTAGCTAAGAGCAAATGCCCGCAGTTGGTCCAATGAATACCAAAATAAATATGATAACTTACGCCTTTATATATAATCTACATAATATAATGTAATCTAGTGTTTAATGTAATCTGGTTATGTAAGGTGCGGGTCAGATAGAATCTGACCCGCAAAAATGTTCTAAATCGAAGTTTGTAAGCATTATTCCATTCTTAAATTTATACCATTTGTGAAATCGTATTCAGCATTCCTGACCACAAAGAAAACTATAATTAGACTTTTAAATTGAAGTTAAGGTTATGTTTTTCAATTAAAGTTAGGAAAATCACACGCTTCACTCAGCCTATATAGCCATTGAAGGAATTTCATATCATCCCCTTTCATTAAAAATTCATTTTTATTTTATTTCCACGTGGATTTTAACATATTCAGAAATTCACAATAGCTCCATGAGTAACATTTCATCTCTATTTCTGATCCTTTACAAACATGTGAAATCATTTTACTTCATTTCATGAAGTGCAAAAATTGAATATTAGCAGTCTACACTAATCGTCTTCAAACAAAGAAAAATTACGTTTATTATGTTTTATTTCCAGAATACCAGTATAAATTTGAATTCAGATTCGTATACGGTATTAATGTTGACAAAATCAGTTTCGGTTCACTATACGAATTCAAGCAGTTCAACGCACTGAATGTCAGCGTTTTCGTTTTGTGACTTAAATCTGTTGCGTTTGATCTCGTCATCCAATCAGGAAAATATTTGGCAGGTCAAACGTCGTTTCCAATTAAATTCCGAAGCAGATGCTCGCTGCCCGCATGCAACGTTAGCTCAGTTGTGTAAATAGAAATGGCAATTCAGATCTGCAACGTATACCGGCAACTGTATGTGAAAGTCTGGCTGCTTAGTCCGTAGAGCAAACAAAAAATTGAAAGTGACACCAAGCGCTAACAATTCTCCCGAAAAAAAAAGACACTGCCACTGTGAGATGCTGGTGATTAAATTTCTTTGGAATTATTTTTACTTCATTAGGTCCTGACACAGCGACTAAATCGAGCAATTATTTCATTTCAAAATCAGCGACATAACGAAAAATGCTGGTGTTGTTAACAATGTTTTGACTGCAAAAATGCTTTTCTAAGAGGCTTTCTGATGTTTTTCCTACCGCTACACGAAAAATATTAAATGCTACGAATAATATTTGATAGTGATTGATAAAAATTTCTCAGATTCATGTTTGCTCCTGCTAAATAACCCTGTTTCCTTATCAAAATTCGGGGACCGCATAGGCTTCGGCCGAATAGTCACTGCATTCTGCGAACTATTCTGGGTTTGCTCGGCTACCCGATCGAAATCAGTCGCCTGAGAGTATGAGAAGAGTTGGCCAAGGTGAGTCATACTGCTTGCAAGCTGCCCATCGGCTGCCATTTAATTACATTGAGCCGAAGCGGACATATAGCGGCTGATGTACGCGCTCCCCGAGTCCTAGGCGGCAACTAATGCAGAGTCGTGCCAGCCTCTAAATTTTGTTAGGGTTAGTAACGATCGTTACAAACGCGTTTAATTGTTTTATACGCCTTCTCGTTTGGAAACTAATATGTTTTAGTCTCTATAACGTCCAAGTTATTACATACTTCTCGAGTCGAAAAATCTTTGTCCGAATATTAAATTTATCATCTTTTATCAGGTTTTCTTTTAAATATAGTAATTCCTCCGAGGGTCCTGCAAATTTTGTCCTTTTTCTGTTTATCTATACTCCTATATTGTATACGTCACGTCACCACCTCTATGATGGATATTCCTTATTTAATCCAAGACTACAATAGAACGTACTGTTTAATTAGTTGCAATATTGGGCGGACTCGCACAAAGCCTTTGATATAATATACTGATCAATTATGTCAATTTACTAATAATAACTCCACAGTTATCATAACTTATAATAACTCTCAATAACTCCGCTGCAATTAAGAGTGTACCTTAATATTACATAACTGAATCTTTCTTCGCTAAAATGTAAATAATTAGTAAACTGAATTAATTCAAATCTCCCTCCATAACCATCAAGATTACAATACTCTAGTGCTCGTTTATTAAATATATATTTTGTGTGATGTTTTAGTGAAAAAAAAAGCCGTCAACACTAAATGTTTTTCTTCCAATTAGAATCACATTATTTGCCTTCGTTAGATGTTATCGGTTGATTACTCATGTTTTATATGTTACTGCGGTATCAACACCACAAAATATGAGGGGTAGACGCGCAATAACAATACAAAAATCTCCCAATCGTTTATTTGAATTTGATCAACCTCTTATCCTAATAATGCTGTATTTCATTTTATGTTTGGCTTGAACAGTTGTGGGGAA